TAAGTTAAATAATCGAGTAGGTGAATTTGTTTTTATCGTTTGTCGTCTGGACAAAAAAAAATATGGATATCTTTTATTAGTAAGGTGTAAGTAGTTCAAGTAAAATGGCTATTGAAAGTCTAAGTATACCGATAAATAAAAGGTCATTTTTAATTTGTAGACAAAAGCTCTATCATGTTACTTTATCCTCCACCATGTTATAGTATCTTACATTATGGTATGATATCCTCCATTATTATATGCTATCCTCCATTATGACATGTTATCCTCCACCATGGTATGCTATTCTCCATTATCATGTTATCCTCCACCATGGTATGATATCCTTCACCATGTTATGGTATCCTCCATCATGTTATGGTATCCTCCGACATGGTATGATATCCTCCATCATGGTACGATGTCCTCCTACATGGTATGGTATCCTCAATCATGGTATGGTATCCTCCATTATGGTATGATATCCTCCATTATGGTATGATATCCTCCATCATGGTATGGTATCCTCCATTATGGTATGATATCCTCCATCATGGTATGATATCCTCCATCATGGTATGGTATCCTCCATTATGGTATTGTATCCTCCATCATGGTATGGTATCCTCCATTATGGTATGGTATCCTCCATTATGGTATGGTATCCTCCATCATGGTATGGTATCCTCCGACATGGTATGATATCCTCCATCATGGTATGATATCCTCCTACATGGTATGGTATCCTCCATTATGGTATGATATCCTCCATCATGGTATGGTATCCTCCATTATGGTATTGTATCCTCCACCATGTTATGGTATCCTCCATTATGGTATAATATCCTCCATCATGGTATGGTATCCTCCATTATGGTATGGTATCCTCCATTATGGTATGATATCCTCCATCATGGTATGGTATCCTATATTATGGTATTGTATCCTCCATCATGGTATGGTATCCTCCATTATGGTATGGTATCCTCCATTATGGTATGATATCCTTCATCATGGTATGGTATGATATCCTCCATTATGGTATGGTATCCTCCATCATGGTATAGTATCCTCCATCATGGTATGGTATCCTCCATCATGGTATTTTATCCTCCATCATGGTATGGTATCCTCCATTATGGTATGGTATCCTCCATTATGGTATGATATCCTCCATCATGGTATGGTATCCTCCATTATGGTATGGTATCCTCCATTATGGTATGATATCCTCCATCATGGTATGGTATCCTCCATTATGGTATGGTATCCTCAATTATGGTATGGTATCCTCCATTATGGTATGGTATCCTCCATCATGTTATGGTATCCTCCGACATGGTATGATATCCTCCATCATGGTACGATATCCTCCTACATGGTATGGTATCCTCCATTATGGTATGATATCCTCCATCATGGTATGGTATCCTCCATTATGGTATTGTATCCTCCATCATGTTATGGTATCCTCCATTATGATATTGTATCCTCCATCATTGTATGGTATCCTCCATCATGGTATGGTATCCTCCATCATGGTATGGTATCCTCCATTATGGTATGGTATCCTCCATTATGGTATGATATCCTCCATCATGGTATGGTATCCTCCATTATGGTATGGTATCCTCCATTATGGTATGATATCCTCTATCATGGTATGGTATCCTCCATTTTGGTATGGTATCCTCCATTATGGTATGGTATCCTCCATTATGGTATGGTATCCTCCATCATGTTATAGTATCCTCCGACATGGTATGATATCCTCCATCATGGTACGATATCCTCCTACATGGTATGGTATCCTCCATTATGGTATGATATCCTCCATCATGGTATGGTATCTTCCATTATGGTATGGTATCCTCCATCATGGTATGGTATCCTCCATTATGGTATGGTATCCTGCATTATGGTATGGTATCCTCCATCATGGTATGGTATCCTCCATTATGGTATGGTATCCTCCATCATGATATAGTATCCTACATTATGGTATAAAGTAAAAAAAACAAAAATACCGAACTCCAAGGAAAATTCAAAACGGAAAGTCCCTTGACAATTGGCAAAATCAAAAGCTCAAACACATCACAACTGTCATATTCCTGACTTGGTACAGGCATTTCCTTATGTAGAAAATGGTGGATTAAACCTGGTTTTAAAACTAGCTAAACCTCCAACTTGTATGACCGTCGCATACAATTCCATTATATTGACAACAATGTGTGAACAAAACAAAACAGAAATAATAGGTAGGTAAAAATGTCAAAAATAGGGGTACAGCTGTCAACATTGTGTTATAATCTCAATCACTATAAAACAAACAAATATGTCAACAAAGGAAAACAAAATTATATAGACAAAGCACATAAGCACAAAAATGAAACACAAAAATACAAAAAATGACCACAGCACAACAACACAATGGCTAGATGTACAAGTACCGAGCCACGCCTAAAGGATATTACCAAAAATGAACCAAACAGTAAACGTTAATGATTTACAAAGACAAGAAAAAGAACACTATAACACGTAATTAAGATGATAAACAACGTCAGTACCTAGAACCTATACATCAAGACCATCATATTATTTGTGAAGTTGATACGGAATATTTATCAACAAGGTCTTGGTATCTTCCGATAAAGGACGAGACGTTCTTTGACATAACCCTGGTTCATCAACTTTCTGCTCAGACACTGGTGACGTTTTACAAAGTCTGAGTAGCAGCTGCAAGCTCTTGAATACCGAATGAGTTGGGAAATATATATCCCATATGCAGATGAGGTTGGTATATTGCTACTAAGGTGGGGGAAATTGATACTTTCAAAATTAAAATCGTCTCGTTTGACATAGATTCTGGTACTGAGATGACCGCTTATGTCAAATTCGAGGTATAAGTCTAAAAATGATGCGGAGGAAACCGTGTCTGTTGTTTCTTTAATTTCTGGTTCTGGAGGATATATTAATGGAACCCAATCAGAAAAATTTGGATTGTTTATGGAAAAAACATCATCAATATAGGAACTCCGACTCATATGAAAATAAGAAGAGGTCGGCAAGGAGAGGCGCACAGTTCGTTCCCATAGGAATGCCGACAATTTGTTGAAAAAGTCTACCTCCAAATTCAACAAATATGTTGTCTATGAGAAACTCCAGCATACTGATCATTTGTTCCTCTGTGTAGCATGTTTTAACTTTTTGTTCACTATTTACAAAATATTCCGTATGGTATCCCAAAACAATAAATTTATAGCGTATGCTACCATTTTTATATTGAAAAGCATTGTGAATTATTTCTTTTATACGATTTTTCAATTTCACATGGGGAATGGTGGTATCCACCATCATGCTATGGTATCCTCCATTATGATATGGTATCCTCCATCATGTTATGGTATCCTCCGACATGGTATGATATCCTCCATCATGGTATGGTATCCTCCATTATGGTATGGTATCCTCCATCATGGTATGGAATCCTCCAACATGGTATGGTATCCTCCATCATGATATGGAATCCTCCAACATGGTATGGTATCCTCCATCATGGTATGGAATCCTCCAACATGGAATGGTATCCTCCATCATGGTATGGAATCCTTCATCATGGTATGGTATCCTTCATAATGGTATGGTATCCTTCATCATTGTATGGTATCCTCTATTATGATATGGTATCCTTCATCATTGTATGGTATCCTTCATCATTGTATGGTATCCTCCATCATGGTATGATATCCTTCATTATGGTATGGTATCCTCCATCATGGTATGGTATCCTTCATTATGGTATGGTATCCTTCATTATGATATTGTATCCTCCATTATAGAATGGAATCATCCATTATGATATGGTATCCTTCATCATTGTATGGTATGATCCATCATGGTATGGAATCCTTCACAATGCAGTTGCAAGCTAACGGTTATCACCACTGGAACTTGCATCTTGGAAATATTGATCATACTTTCGTTTCGTCAACAAGGTATGAAAATCACCTCTTAGTACCTCATTTGAGATTTGTTATTAGATCTAAGCATTGAGGATACCTCCACTCAGTATTCCCTGGACAATGTGATCTGAGATTTTAAGATCTCGGCATGCAGAACTAGCGGGTATTGGTTATAACCATGCAGACGGGGACATATAAGCTTTATATATATTTTACTGCCAATTCAAGCAAATGTGAAAATTTCTGGATCCGCCACTGACAATTGTGATTAGTTTAAGATCGAATTTATCTATGAATTGTTGTGTAAAATTGCTAATATTACTAAAGAAAAAAAGCCAACATTATAAGTATTGTTTTTGCTGTTTTTACCGGAACCGGCAATATAGTGAATTTGTTGCCGACGCGGGGAAAATGGAAAATATGCTATTTTGCCGGCTCTAGGTAAGCAGAAGTCAAGTTAAAAACTATTTTGTTTACATATATGCAATTCAAAGAACTGGCTATTATTTCAAAAGCAACATTTTTGATTTTTGAAAATATGTTATTGATTTTGTTATATTGTATAATGTTTTATCATATTTATGATGCAATGAGATTTTTAACTTTTATTTCTTTAGTAGACTGTGACTGATTTTAGAAATAAGTTCAACTACATGTTTTGATATGATTTCATTGCAACAAATGGTTGCTCAATGTTTTTATTTTTATTTCTTAATTGTTATAAATTTTTATTTTCACTTTGACTGATAAATGTTTTTAAACGATTATATGTATCTCAAATATTGTTATCTGTTTTCTGATTTAACTACCAGTATATATATATCAGTAATTATTTGATTCTTTTATGTTGACAGTGTACATTTTCGTAGTACTTTTCGAACGTAAATATTAAATTTCACTCTTTATAAAGAACCGGCAAAATAACAAATTCACTATATTGCGCGGTGCCGGTAAAACAGGCATTTCTAAAGAAATATGCTATTTTGCCGGCACAATATAGCCGGTGCCTGCAAAATAGCAGGACGTCCCAGTTTACAGGCCGAATTGTCGTGAGGCCGAGACTTCTACCCCGAGTACAAACGGATGTATTAAACTTCACAGGTAAATACGCAGTAAAATAAGTAAGTAATATATAAATTCTTTATTTTTCATAAATTATGTAAAATATTTTTAGTTTTAATCTAGGGTTTGAAAAAATTGTAGCTTAGAAAAATTGATTTACAAGTGTATTTTCTGATTAAGTGTATCAGGGACTTTCTATACTATTTCATTTTAGTATAGAAAGTCCCTGAGTGTATATATATGTTCCAAAAAATTGGTGCTTGAAAATACAATCTCACTTGATAAATGATTGAAGATTGAGGACAAGTTTGTTAATTGTACCAAGTTATATAGTCTGTTTAAATATAAATAAAGTACTGACATTCACTTATAATAAATATATGTTTGTTATTATCATACAAATAAAATAAAACACTTTGATTTTATCATCATGATCATTGACAAATGATTCTATATCTCGGTTAATGTTATAGAGATAGTATAGTAATTTCGTTTTTAAAAATTATTTCAGATCTAAAAAAAAATTTTTTAAAATTTAAAGACTATATTACTTTTCAGTTGGAAAGCCACACGTCAGTTCTGCGCCTCCTTCCATATGACGTAACGGACAAGAATTCAAGGGCGACAATCGCGATTTTTACATAGACGGCGACAGTATCGCACCATCTCGGTAATTTGTTTACATCGTGTACGTTTGATTTTTCAAGAAATTTATTATTAAAGACAATTAAACTTGCATCATTTCATCATCAATTAGTTATATAGGTAAGGTTAACAGGTGACCATGCTATTTTTTCTTCTTAGGAGATTTTATTTTACAAGAAACAAACATCTGAAATTGGCAAGTGACGTTGTTGTTTTGGAAGATAAAAATATGGCGGGTGTTTTCCCCTTCTGAAAATAACTGACACATTTGCATCCTAATGGCTATTTAAATATAAAATGACAAAAAATAGTATCTATGATGATGGGAGTCCCTAAATATTTGCATAATTACCCATCACTCCGTGTCAAATTGCAACTGAGGCTGCGAAAGGGAAGCACATAAATCGACGCCATTTTTCAACAGATCCACATGAACAGTAGGTTTCTGTGCTCACAAAATCCTAGTAATATTCTGTTAATGGTTAGTAGAAAGATATGAACAATATCAATAACAAAATTTTATTGATCAGATCGGTTTATGCCAAATTATGGCTATATATTTGCCCCTTTTTCGATGCTGAAATTTCCACAGACCACATGTAAATAAACGCCCCTTTCCCAGCGTGAGACTTCAATTTTAAATAAAACTTTAATTTTGGCCTGTCAATGATAGCATTTATATTTTAGTTTATTTATTACGGTTGTGTAAAGCATTTGTGATCATTTGTTTGATTCTCTCGTATAGTAAAAAGGTTAGTTCAATGAGTGTGTGACAAAAAAAATAACAACAGAATAGAGTACTATGGCTAAAAGTATAAAGAATAGAGAAAAATTGACTAAAAAATATAAGGAATAGAGAATAATGTTGTGCTAATTTATTGAGAAAAGAGAATGATGGGCAAAAAGTATAAAGAATAGAGACAAATGACCTTAAAGATTTATTAATATAGAAATGGAGGACACGTACCCATCCAGACCCTTGTTTATGTGAACAACAGTACCATTTTTTTGTTAAATAATGCATATATGGTCATGAAAAATATTTTGAACAGATTTCAGGTATATGAAATATTAATCAGGAGGAAAGTATCAGTTCTGCCCCTCCTTCCATGCTAAAAAAACACACAAATTATATGTGATTGATTGTTGATTTTTAACGCCACAGTATTGGCAAGGTATGTGTTGTGGCCAGGTTTTATTGGTGGTGGATGCCTGTTTGCTCATATACTTTATAGTACAGCCCGAAGAATGCCCTTAGATTTGAGGGAATCTCAAATTTCACAACTGATTACATGTAGCTTCACAGTTTGAAGTCCTTGTAATTTATATATCACTCTTACCAATAAACCATGGTTCCAAGTATTATATTGACATGAATAAACTGACCACAGATGTTACACAAAGGTTATCTGATAAGAAAGTCAACATTTCGCCATTTTCTGTCTTTACTTGAAATATAAATATAAATATTCTTCATAAGATTTTGACAATCTAGTCAGTGTTTTTTTTTCATTAATCATGTTCAGATACAGTTAAAGGAATGTAATATGAAGTTATGATTTTTTTTTATTATTAATTTTCCATTTTTTTTAAATTTAGAATAGACCCATAATCTGTTGTCATTTTGAAGATTAATTTTCATTAGAAATGAATATTCTTAGTAATTTTCACAATTATTTTGATAAAATGTCATTTAATGATAAAAGGAAATTTCCTAAATATTTAAAAGAAATTCTTAATAGAATATTCATTAGGCAAAGACAATTTGGAAAAAGAACCCTCCTTTTTATACGCCCGTTTATGAGAGGTACAAATGTATTATGGTATACTGTTGTCCATCCGTCTGTCTGTCCGTCCGTCATAGATAACCACAGACCTTTGATTACAGCAATCCTAGTTCAGATAACTTGCACAAGGAGAGTTTGAATTCTCAACCTGAATGCAGACTTACTTGTGCATTTACTTTATATTTTTGCTCTCATACTGATATTTTGTTTGTAATTATGACGTTTACTTACATTTAATATCATAAAATATATATTAATATCTATTAAACAGATTGATATGTTATTATAGTGATGAATTTAACTTTAACATGTTAAGATACTGAAGTAAATGAATAAATAAATAAAAAAATTTCTTTGAACATATGTTGCTGTATATGATTATGACCTTTTCTTATCAGACATATCATATAAAGTCATTAAAATAAATTATTTATTTACATCAAAAGTCTAAACATTTTTGTTTTTTTTTTATTGAAGCTTATATGCATACTTTTGATTATTTAAGATTAAAATAAGAATAATTTCAATTTCAAAAAAATAATAACAAATATCCAAAAACAAACTTAAGTATACCGGTATACATTATGGGATTTTCTCATGATTGAAGGCTTTAGTGTAGCATAAAATTGCTTTTATCCACTCCATTTGATTTTTTGGGGATAGTTGTCTCATTGGCAATTATTTCACATCTGATTAGTTTTACATTAGTGAAATTAGAAACATTCAATTTAAATTAAAACTTGGACCACATAAGAATCAGTAGACAATTAAAATGTAAATTATAATTTCATATGACAACTCTAGAGAAGTTGGGAAATTATTTTCATTTAATATCATATGCATAAATTATATATTTACAGATACATGTAACAATAGAAAATAAGGAATAAAGAAGAGCAGGAAACATTAACTTCCATTTTGAGGATTTATGGAACAGAGGACTTTTTGACTTGTTTTTACTTTAACTTGGACTTTTTAACAATAATTATGCTTCTTAAATTTTAAACTTTATTGTTATGTGTTTGGTTTTTTTTTAACTTTCAAAGTATTTAAGTTGTATTAAATTTTGTTTATTTGATTGAAGCTTATTTACTTATAATTATTTAAGATATTATTTACATATGTTTCATTTTAACATTATTTTTATGCATTTGTATTTATTTATCTTTTAATAAACTTTTTTTTTCTTAACATTTTTATATATACAAAGTGAAACACCATAATCATTTTATATTGATGACATGGGGTAGATGTACATGAGACAATGCTGCTGCTGCAATACAATACAACATTCATAGATGCAAAGCAAGCACATTAGCCATATACATGTATGTACTGTAGTATTTGAGACATAAAAAAATATCAAAGATGTAAAAGGTCTACTTTAATGATTTATTAGGTGTGAAGGACTTAAATGGAGTGGTTTTAGAATCGTTCACTTCTCCCAGAGATATCCTTGATGTCTCTCTAGTGGCCTCTCATGACATGACTTTTCACTGTTATATGCTTCCAGGGAGATTTTGAAGTGTGGTGACCCCTGCACCTAAATAAATCATTTTCAGCAGATACATATCTCTGTTTTCAGACTATTTGATGAAAAGTTTAAACTAATATTCAAATTAGAAAAATGAAAACTGAGCAACTTGAACCCACAAAATACAAATGATCTCAGGTGCTCTGGAAGAGTAAGCAGATCCTGCTCCATGTGTAGTATTTAGAATGAGATGCCTAGGTGCCCTTTTCCTATATGTAATCACATGATTTTGCAAATTATTGTGTGCTTTTATTATTGCAAATTTGAAGAATGGAATAAAATGTGTAAAAAGTATTGCTTTTGCAGAAAAATCAGCACACAGATATAGGAATGGTATATATGTATCTGATTTAAGTATATCATGATAGACCTCGAAAAAGATTAGTGTGAAATAAAAGTTGTTGGTCGAAAAATTAATATCAACGCAACAAAACAGGATTTCCAAAAATCAGAGTGAGACATTCATATGCCATCTTCAAAGCAGACCTCAGAAGCAATATAGCTTTTTTTAATGCTCTTAATGGTCATATAGCTCTCACTTGTATTAAGACTTGTATGTACTAGGCATTGAGCATACCTGTTGAAGGTTAATCCAGGAAAGCCCTTGGATGCATTCAATTTAAAAAAACTTTTTTTTCATTTTCAATGAAGGAATAGTGTAATTAATGAATGCTTTTTTTGAAAAATACCATTGTTAATGTTAATTTCTTCAGCAGCAGCATATCTGAGTTGAACTATTTTTTTTGGAAAAAGTTGTTTTTAAAAGAAACCCATATTGACATGATTGACAATTGATAGAGGATGATAATTATAGGCAACAGTTTTAGCCTTCAACAATTTGCAAACCAATTTGTCAAGTATAAAGGACCTTATAAAACAGCATGTGATAAAAATTCTAAATCCAGAACTAATGATAAAATAAATACAGCTACTATATATATATATGGAAGAAAAACAAATTTGATGAATGGCCACTAAACTTTTTCAAAACATTTCTTTAAGAACATGCACACACTTTGAAAACACAATGACAAATATTTGTTACCAGGGCCCAGAAACACTTAAACATGAATGGTTAGTGTACAACAGGTTC